TTGGCTAACAGTAACATTAATAACTTTAGCAGTAACCCTAAAACAATGTCACTAAGATATTTAATAGAAGTAATAGGTACTTAAGGATCTTAAGATGTCATAAAAATTACTAAAGATCGGCCAATTTTAGTATTACATTTCTTGTTCTACTAGATCACGTGGGATACGGATATTGTTTAAGACTCGTTACTATTCTAAAAAGCAAAATGCGGTTCCAGATTGACCTCAAACAGCTCCCTGTATATCCATTTTTATGCTTTTGTCACAATATATAGACCATTTTCAAAATTCTGGTGTGTAGAATTTTTTTCTCGGCACTTTGAGTACTTAAGTACAATTTTGAGTACACTTTACTTGTACTGCCCAGCTGACACACTTATTCATTTGATAGTCAAATACAATCGGTTGCTTTTGTCAGGTAATAGTCATATAAGATTTGCTGATGTTAAATTTTATTTACTTTTTTTGACTCCATTCATATATAGCATTTATATATTTTTGCAAAGAAACGCAATCGCGTACTGTTTGAATTTGTTTATAACATCATCAGCAAAAAATAAGCACTAGAGTATTTAATCATTTTTGGCAAATCATTGACAAATAACAGAAACAATAATGGATCTACATTGGAACCTTGTGGAACTCCTGAAACAGCAAGCAATCTGCTAGAATCATTAGCATTATGTCCTACCAAAAAGTATATATCTCTCAAATCATCTCTAATAAGCATTAATATATTACTTGTCAATCCAAATTGACTTATATTTTTTAATAAAATATGATCTACTCGATCAAGAGCCTTACTAAAGGCACTAAAAATTGTATCAAGCTGAAGTATTTTTTCTAATATACTATTTGCATAATTTGAAAAGATAAATTATAATTAATTGCTTGTTACGAAATTATATAATTTGTCGTAAATTATTTGCGCCAATATTTTAGAAAGAGCACACATAACAGAAACCGATATATAATTTTCAATATTCCTTGTACTATTTGATTTAGGGTTTGGGGGTATAAAAAGCCAAATCAGGGAAAGAAAGAAATTTCAAAATAAGATTGAATATATGACTCAGCAAGAACGAATGTAGAATAAAAAATAAAAGTCAGGCGAACAATTTTTAAAAAAGAAAATAATTCAAGACTCAAGTATGACCAAGATGAAAAATACAGAAAAACAATAAAGTCTTAATTTTCTTTATTTCAGTCAACCACTATCTAGGGATAGTAGTGAATTTTACGCATCAACTGGTTGATTTAGAGATTGGAATCGAGAATGTCCTATTAAGTACGAAACCGATCCAAGAGAGACGTTCTCCTTAATAAGCAAAATCAAAGCTAGATTATTAAAACTTATTTTCTGTGATGTTTTCCTTTGAATATAATTAAATGCCTCTTATGGTATTAGCCAAAGGAGTAATAATTTTTCAGAAGCAAACGGTCACCCGTAATATTTTGTGACACATGGCTTTGAGATTTTGTTTTTCATGAAAAGTGGACTTGACAAAAGCAGCGATTACTAAATAATAATAATAATAATAATTATTAAAGATCTGGCGAATTTTGTCAAGCTTGCAAACCGTCTTTAATTGCTGTAGAAACGAAACAAGGTGATACTTTTTTATACTACTGTTCACACAGATTACTAATTTAATTTGTAGTTTGTTCATGGGTTCAAAAGTATAAGAGTAGGGTCAGTTTCTCCATTGGTTCTTTGTGCGCTGAACACCCAGTTACATTTCATAAAAACACATTATTTTAAAATAAATAACATAAAAATATAAATATAGATTAAATTTTAATAATTTATTGTTTTCATACGTGTTAATCTCTATTTTTTGGTACGCCACTGCACTCTGGCTAATCGCCTCTCTTTGGCTCACTTTTCCAAGTGAGCCCGCAGGAGCGAGATGCTTTCCCGAAAGCCTCTAGCTAAAAAGAGATGTCAACACGTTAACAGATCGGTGAAACGAACAATGACCTACTTAAAATCAGCTTATTTTGCGCAACGCACACAGTGACGTCACAAAAGTAGGGCAAGTCATACGAATCTTTCATATCATAAAAATAGAATAAAAAGATGCAATGACGGTACTAAAAGTGTCCGCACTTTTGCATTACACTTTTACGACATATGTCAAACTCGAGCTAGTCAGTTTTGGTGATAATAAATGCCATTTTTTTAAAATAGCCTGATTTAAATTATATAAAAACATTTTCATTCCGTCAATCTTTAAATATAAAATTATTAAATTAAAATTATTCAAAATATGACTCAAAGTGCCTCCACTTGTCATATCGCAAATTAGTGTTTATGTCGTCTCTACCTACTGTCAAATTCTAAAAATCAACACATGAGATAATTTTGTGTATTGTATTTATTAAAAATTAGATTTAAATAAAACCGCAACTTTAATAAATTGGAAGTACGTGTGCCAAATCAACGATTGTTACCGAAAAACGTCCCGGGTAAAAAAATTACTATAATTTTTAAGGTTATTTCCAAATTACGGTTGTAACTTATATTTTGTTTTTTGTTCCAGGGTCTACAGAATAGTCATGTGTTTTATACCCAACTATGCATTGAGCAATTTTTTGTTTATTTCCTACAAAAGACAAACGAGGTTTCAAAAAAGTATGACAATTTTATTATATATTTTATTAAGTATTAAGTAAAGTTGAAAGTAACTACTTGTTGATTAAACTATAGGGCTATTGTTTGTTAATCTGTAGTAAACCTACATGTAACTTTACTAAGAGGTGAAAAGATCGACCCTTAAACAAGGATAATTTCTTGATCGTGGTACAATTTTATGTGAATAATTGTTTATTTTGTAGGTTGTCCCTAATGAATTTGAAGTTGTAGAAAAATGCCCTAAATGTATAAATGCTGGAGGTACTGATAAACAGTGTTAGACTGAGGATTTTATAAACTTACATTACAGTTTTTTTAAAGACGATATAAAATATAAATATTACACTGGCCTAAATTAATTCAAGAAGCTTAATAGTTGTGTCTATGTTAGGTATGTACCCATATCATGAAGACTAAATTAAATATTTACTGATATCTACCTGGGAGGTAAACTGAACTATGTCGACATAGTGCAGTTTTATAAAGGTTATATTTTTAAAATCGGCTCATCGACACCTTTTTAGGGGTATTCTATACCATGTATAGTGATGTTACAATAAAAGTTGACTTAAAAAAAGATAACACTATGTTAAATGTTCAATAAACTTACAAGTTAAACGTTAAACAACACTTTTTAACTCTCAGGTTAGTCGTGCTATTTATAGAGGCATATTGGAGGTATATGATATTGTCATAGAATAAAAACCATGTATATTAAAAAAAAAAGTTTTAATAGTTAGATTATTAGTAAACAATATATATTGTGACAATAATTAGGGCTAACTGCATTTCTTGCTGAAATATAATTATTATATGTAAATATGGAACACGAAAAGTGTCAAACCAACATTTAGTCTGCTCTACTAAAAAGTTGACTAGAATGACATAGCGCAGTTTATCTCCGAGGTATTGCTGTACCTATTAAATAATTTTCAAAACTTTGACTTTATCAATATTTTACTGTACCTATTGATTAGGCTATTATGTTATTGTTTTAGCCTTGATTGTATTATTATAGTACTCTTCACACAGTAGTCTGTGAAGAGTATTATAGGTTTACTTTGTCTGATGTCACGTTTTTTGTCTGCACGATAAGTCAAAAATGAAAAATGATATCAACTTGAAAATTTTAAGAAAAAAACAAGCTCTATAAGGGGACAAAGCCTATTGATTTTGAAAAATCTGATTAAAAATAGGGGGTTAAGATGGGTTGAAATTAAAAAAAAAATCCTAAATTAAAAACGAAAAGCGATATCAACATGATATGTTTAGTAAAAATGAAGCTCTATAAGAAGGGATAAAGCCAATTGATTCTGCAAAAAATCTGAATAAATTAGAGTTAAGGGGGGTTAATATTAAAAAAAATCCTAACTCAAAAACGAAAAATGATATCAACTTGATATTTTTAGCAAACATCAAACTATATAAAAAGATGCGCTTTTATTTTGAAAGAAAAAATCTTATTAAAAATGGGGGCTTTAAGGGGGCTTGAAATAAAAAAAAAATCGAAAATGAAAATTTTTGTAGAAATCAAGCTCTATAAGGATATGACGCCTATTGAATGTGAAAAAAAAATGAATAAAAGTGAGGGGGTGAGGGGGGTTAAAATAAATTTTACTCAAAAACAAACAATAATATCAACTTGAAATTTTTGGAAAAATCAAGCTCTATAAGGGGATAAAGTCTATTGATTCTGAAAATAATCTGATTGAAAATGGGAGTTAAGTGCGACTGTTAAACTGTGAACAGTATAATTTAGAATGCCACGCATTATGTACAGTGATCTTATAACAAACACATTTTAGTTCATTTGTTTTTTGCCAATAAAAGGTATTTAAAAAATATATTATTTTATTTGACATGTGTGAAAAATTGTTAAAATGAATAAATTTACAATAAAGACTGAAAAATGGTAGGTAAAGTTTCATGTAATAATATTTTTTACACAAAAATCAATGTCAAGTTTTCTACATAACCTGATATATATTTAAAAATAATCTCAAAATATGAAGAAAAGTCAGTTGACTAACTAATAATGTTGGTTTTCAACGTATTAAAAACAAAACGAATATTACAATAACTAAAATATTCATTTATTCATTCATTAATAGTTGTAGTGCTTGAAAAGAGTATGATATTGATGATATTAATAACCACACTTGTACAAAGTTTTGAACATAACAATGATAAAATTAGTGTAAAAGTGAACACCCATTTTAAATTACCACTAGCCGCCACTGCATAAGAGAGAATAAACTTAAAAGAAAACTAACATATTTTTAATTATAACCATCGTCTCGCAGGCAATTTTTTTAATTACAAAAATTTTGTACACCTTTTAGTCATAAATAATGTTCCCACTTACGTTTCAAAATATGCATGATCTCCTGCGACGCCTGTGCCGTATTGAACTGACTAAGAAGGTCCATCACTGTGTAGTTATTGGAATCTCTGATGGAAGTGTTGACTCCATGTTCGAGCAAAGTTCTTACAACCTCTACTTTCCCGCACAAAGCAGCTTCGTGCAACGCTGTCCCTGCTTTCGTCCGCATGTTAACGCTAAAGCCAGCTTTAAGGAGAACTTCCACTACGGCCCTAAAATAAAAAGAAAATATTTGTATTTTTACTAAAAAACATTATTAGTACGAGCAAAATGGGTTATCTTCAATTTGGATGAATTTTACTACGAAAACCAATAACTTTGAAGTTAAATATATCAGCAACCGTTTGAGCTTCGAGCATGCAATGAGCTTTACAAATATGTTGCAATATTTAAAAAAATTTGATTTTTCAAAGCTTTAAAGAGAAAAAGGTCTCTACGCGATATGCACGTGACGCGATATACATTCTACGTTATGTGCGTATTAGGACGCCTCTATATTAGATTCGACCATCATTACCAAAACTCTTTCTATAAATTAGCACGTGAATTATATACTAAATCCTACCTATAATTCCGAAACTCTGTCCTTAGTAGTATGAGATGCTTATCAGGACGAGACTGAACAAGGAACTGGAGAATTGGCACAAATTTAGTTCGGGTTAGGAGAAGATCAAAATAGCTCTGAAAATAGTCATATAACATGAGGATCCCTTTTGCTGCATCTAACTTCTAAGAAGACTTTTTAGAACCGAATGTATGTTCACCCTCCATATTTATGGACTTTTCAGAAATTGATCGCGATCCCTTACAATTTCCTTGATACCTATCTCGAATGTACAAAATTTGTATTTGTGTCATTATTCCCTAAAACTTTCTACTTTTTCAGATTTATACATATATACTAATTTCCAGTTTTAATTTTAACTACAATATAAACTATTTAATTTACTTTCATGAATTGTTCATTAAGTTTGTTATTAGTACTTAGTACACATGTGAATTTTGATATTAAGAAGACAACCAAATTAAATTTTTAAAATGACGAATAACTAAGAAACTTCCCTTTTGGATTAAATGCTTTCTCGGATAAATTTTACCAAATTCAGTAAGGCTGCAAAGGTAAAGCATAAATATCTCTTCCTACGAGGACATTAATTAACAAAATTTTCTTGATTAAATTAAGCATAACGACACCGTTCGCCTCGCTTGCATTGCGAGGTACATAAAAACTCCGTGTGACGCCATCAAATATCTAGGTATTTATTTTTCGCTTGGATTGATATATACCCGTGCATTTCTCGCATGATCAACTAAATAGCCTGTTAAAGAATTCGAGGCGATCAAGCGAATTCGTGCGAATTCTCCTGGCAAATTCGACTTATAACCGGTCTGAATTACTGTAGAGTTGTGGTCCATGTACAGGGCGGAATAGGATTTGATTATCCTGGCATTTAACGAAAAACGAATAGTGCTTTTGTCAGCGCACACTTTCACGTGGTGTAGTAATCCTCGAACAAATTATTTGTATTCCCTCGGCTTAGTTAACTCGGCATACGTAATCTTGTATGTTAAAATTATCATTCGTATGCTTGCACATCAGGAGTCTGCTGACTCCAGTTAATATTTTTTGTGTTACCTTGGTCAAATCTTTAGGCTTATATGGCCTATCACAGTTCATAAAATTAAAAGTGGTCTCATTTTCCACTTATTTCTAGCTCATACGAAAGTATATCGTCTTTATATTTTTCTAGATTGATAACCTGGTGCTCACCAGATACTCGTAGATCATAGACAATAAACTCTTGGACCTGCTGTCCTATGGACAAATAATCTCTAGGTTGTTGTGGTTTTATTTCCTCCACAACACATCATCATCATCATCTAATCATAAGCCTGGAGCGTCATGGACAGGCTAAAGCAAAACGAATAGATTTTGCGAAGCCTGAGATATAGGCTTAGCCACATGCGAATTATATGCTCGAGAAACGTAAAGACGGGACCTACCATCAGGCTGAATTAGCCTGGCGGACTTCTAAAAGCAGGATAAGCAAAAGAAAAAGAAGAAGGAGCATAAATCCATATCATGTTCAATTGCTTTAGATTGATATTGCTAACCCTAGCGAAGAAAATCCGAAAGCTAAATAATGTGGTCCAAATAGAGGAGCTCCCAATACTTCGAGGCATACATACAGGGTGTTCCAATAGTGTGTGGAAGTTCGATATATCCTAAATTATACAGGGAGTCTGTAAAAGGTCTTTACAAAAACATACCACATATTCCTTAGACCAAAATAAGTCGATTTAAGTAAAATTACCTTAGTACAAAGTTGCTTCGTTTCGGCTCCAGAGGGCCTTGCAGTTACAATTTTTAAATCGTTTTTAACATATAAATTTAAAACGGCATATGCGATTTTGCTGAAATTTGGTATATTAGTAGAGTTTTATGTGGCAAAAAAAATGGTATTAAAATTTTGTCCGATAATAATACATAGGCATAGAACTTGATTTTTTAAATAATTACACCTTTAAAAATTCTACGCCAATGGAAGAAAAGGAGTTTTAGTATGAAATTTAGATTGCGCAACTCATTTACTTTAAAAAAGGTACTCTTGATAAGACTCGATTACTCTCATGGTTTTCGCTAAATTTCTCTTTTAATAATTTAGAGGGTATAGGTTTCACAAAAATATTTATTTACAACATAATCAAAATAGAGATTTTACAAAAATTGTTTAAAATGTTCACCATTTTCACGCATACAAAGATTTATACGTCGAAGAAAATTAAAATGTATCCTTTCCATAACTTCTTCATCACCTCTAAGATTGTTTATTGCATCTTGAATACGTTGCCAGAGTTGTTCCTCATTTTCTACAGGTTCCCTGTAAACTGTGGATTTCAGATGTCCCCATAAAAAGTAATCCATCGGTGTTAGGTCTGGGGAACGTGGTGGCCAGTTTACAGGTGCGTCATTACCTCTGCCTATCCATTTGTGTGGATATTGTTCATTCAAGTGGTTTCTAACGTTTAAAGAAAAATGTGGTGGAGCTACATCTTGCATAAACCACATATCTCTCCGAAGTTGGAGAGGTAAATCTTCTAACAATTCTGACAACGTATTTTGTAGAAAATCCAAATAATTTTCTCCAGTTAATCTTCGTGGAAGTATGACAGGACCAACAATGAAATTACCAATTATTCCAGCCCACACATTAATTTTGAATTCGTGCTGAAAATGGTTTACCTTTATTGCATGCGGATTTTCAACGACATAAACATGTTCATTATGGGTATTAGTTATACCTCTTCTTGAAAAACCCGCTTCATCGGTAAAGAGAACCTTCTTGACAAAGTTTGGATCTCTTTCTCTTTGCATATTAACAAATCGACAAAAACCCAAACGAATTTGAGGATCATGGACTAATAATTCTTGTACTGGCTTCTTATGGTATGGATATAGCAATTGTTCTCCAAGCACTTTATGAACGACATCTTTACTTACTCCTAGTTTCCTTCCAATTCGTCTGGTGCTTAATTCCGGATCTTCTTCAACTCGTTCTAAAATGTCTTTTTCAACTTCAGGAATCCTTACAAAACGTTCCCTTCCATTATCAACAGTGTTGGGAGCAAAGGAACCGGTCTCCCGAAGACGTCTCTCAACAGCAGCAAAAGTTGAGTGGCTAGGTACACGACGATTTGGAAACCTTTCAGAGTACACCCTGACACTCTCTTGGGCATTTCCTTCACAAAATCCTAATGTCAGTAACATATCGGTATATTCTGCATTGGTATATTGTACAGCCATATTAATAAACCACGCATTTGTTTTTTTTAATTATTGAGTCAGACCTCTATTGAGAATTCCTCGGACAGGCATTATCACTTTTGACATTTCGAAAAATTCGTCATAATTTAACTGGAATGCTTATATCGTTAGCATTGAATTAAATAAAAAAAAAATTGTATTTTTATGTAGTTTTATCTATAAACAGTAGACCAGCATTGATGGTGCAATATATTATAGGTATATAGAGTCTTCAACGTGTTGTATACCAAGTAAAACCATAAATTAGATAGAAATTGTATTTTTTAGTGACTTATGACAACGAATTTGTCAGTTCCGTCAAATACGTCAATGGTATTATTTTGGGGTTACTATTGAAATTCATTTTACTTTTAACCAGCTGATGACATCAATTTGGTCACGTTGCAGTTAAAAGAAATTATTTTAGAAACCACAACACGTCACTTTATTTTGATAAATCAAGAAAATGTTAATATTGCTTGAAATAGGACATACTGTATCTAAATGCAAAATGTGTCAATGACCCTTAGCTATTTATGTGTAAAGTGTGTACGTGTGTGTAATGTACTTTAATTATCTGTGCATATGAGCCTTAATTGTCTGCACCAATTAACCTTATGACAAAAAAGTAATGCTGGGGCATATTAAAATTTTCAGCGTATCTCACATGTTCATTAGAGTATGTAATATGTTTTGTTGAACCTACGTAACAAGTAGAAGTCTATAACAAAGTCCTTATTTTTTAAATGAAAGACTAATTTTAATTCTTGTTCTATACCGGGCAAAACTATTTAAAAAAACTGAATCTATCAAATGTCATTTCATTTGAAAATATAGTACTGTACATACTGTATTGCCTACCTTCTAATCTTCACAATTTTTCCAGTGAGCATTGTTTATAAGGTTTTAATTATTTCATTCAAGATCATTTTATATTGTGAAAATATGGTAGAAATTAATTTTTATTTACTAAATAGCATTCATTTTCCTGCAACTTATGTTCAATCTACATGTTTTTTCGCCATGAGATAGGCGTAATACAATAATTGAATCAAATTTCACTGTGTTCGAATATTTTCAGAAAAGAAATTAATTTAGTCTGTATTTACATTAAACTGTTTATATTTACAGGTACTACTGTTTGTTTAGAATTCTATATTGTATATGTGTTACCTCTAATTAAAATTTTATGAGTGTTTTTAAATTTTGTCGCTCTAGACTCTAGAGCTAAAAAGCTATCACTTAATGCTACTTAAATTTGGCAGAATTTGAGGTGCAAATGCCTAAATTGAATAATAATCGTAAAAAATGGTAGTTTGTGCAATAAGTAAGAAAAACGAGTTTTTCGCACTTTATTTTTGTACATTTGCCATACGTAAACATTTACACTCCCCCAAGAATTATAAT